ACATACAACAAGTGGATAAGCACATCATGCTACCCTGCAGAAGGGCTATTAATAAGGGTGTAGGGATCTGTATTATGTTTCTTCCCCTATTGATTAACATCACATCACGCATATGTCTGTGCGTCCGGTGGATTCATCGGTGCTACAGGTTGCCGTTGTAGGAAGAAAATTGATTAAATCATTCTCTCAGTTGTCTACGGTATCTAGAAATCTCCTACCCTAAAATGGGAAGATTATGCTTCTCCTTATTTCCTCATTTCCAGTTACCAGATAACCAGAGTGTAAGAGGAATTATTAATATACTTGAACTCACTCTGTGTAATTAAGTATAAGTCTTTTCCTAGGACAACTAACTGCTGTATTTTTGCCATAGAAGTCGACGTGCTTCATAATGACCTCATAATGACCGTTACAGTTGTTGTTTTTGACTGAAATATCTCGGTACGTGGCCGTCCACGTTTTCTTGTCAGGACATCTAGCTAAGCAAACTCTTACGACTACTGAACTTTTATTTATTACTTGCTTGCTTCTTGACGCCCATATGTCAGCTGGGGTCACAGGCAGCCATGTACACAGTTGGATTGCATCTTGATTGGTGATGCCTATGCCCCGGGTTATTCGACTGGTTCCGCGCTGTATATTATGCTTAAGACGAACCATAATCTTCCATTGAGGTTGTTTGGTTGCAGATTCCCAGGTTACTTGGAGAGCGTCAGCACGACAATCACCCCCTAACGGAGACAAATAACTTCATTTCTGTAAAGATGGTTATCAACACTGAAGCGCTGTGATCCTAGTCGAGATTTCTGGTTCGCTAAGCGTAACCTACGTTAAAGCCAAGGTGGTTTTTGCTGACATGATTTGAAGTCTAGTTTATAGTGCGATTACCCCATCTTTGCTACATCAAAGGCCTAATTAATCTCAGAGGGCCTGTTAAGAAATTAATTACCTCATCACCCATTATGGTGTAGACTCCCGTTCCCTGCTGATAGGTCTGTGTTAGTTATAGTGGCGTATGCGCCGTTTATTATTTAAAATGATCAACCTTGAAGAATCCTGGTGGACGAAAAATGGATTGCTGATATTTTTTTCCGCAACTCCGATGCTTTCGCGAATGCCAGGGGAATTTTGAGAGGCCTGTGGTCATGATAATTTCTACACTGAGGTGTCAGAAGCTGCAGTAATTTGTGAATAGCACATATACTTCCCAAATTGGGATCAAAAATCCACTCACTCTGGCAGATAGCCTAATTTAACAGTACGTGCAAGTTTTTACTGGAGGCCTGCATATATATAATAATCCTGCCCCAAGCTCTGTTTATGCCAACTATTATCTCGGAACCAATATTTTATAGTTTTTGTTGACGTACAGTGGACCCTCGGTTCACAAGTTTAATCCGTCCCAGCACCTAGCTCGTCATGCAAAACGCTCGTCTTGCGAAGCGTAGCCAATCAAACTGCATCAGTTCACTGATTGGCTGCCGGAGATCGAGAACCCGCGCCCTGGGAGCAAGATTCAACAGCGGACACAGACGCACACACGCACTGACAACCCGTTAACTGAGCTGAAGCTCGTCAATCGAAACAAATTTTCTGCGAGTGGGTCACTCGTCACCTAAAATACTCATAAATAGAACGGCTCCTCACGTAAGGCTCCACTGTATACACGTCTTCGGTTGATTACCAAACCCTGTTTCCTTCGCTCCAGGACTTGCCTCTAGTCCCTTCTTATGTCAACTCTATTAGCCTTGCCTGTCTGGGAAACCAATCAGGCTTGTCGGGAGCTGTATACAGGCGTTGCATAACTCCTTCTTCTTTTCATTCTAGTTCCGCAAATGATTCACCAACTACGCCGGTTCAGCCTGAGCTGATGAAAAACACACCTCTAGCAGGTCGTAAGTCATCTAATTTACTTGATTTAAGCGAAACCTTCACAGGACTGGAGGAGACTCGAACCAGGGAAACAATTGCCGCACAGAGCCTTCTCCACCTTCCTCACAATGTAAGACCCGGTAGCCTCGTAAACTCTTTTTTTAGCCCAACCAGACTTTAGTGGCAAGGGGCCTTCTGATGAAGATTTGCCGCAAAAAACCAAAATACCGCACTTTCTTTCTTTTCAACGACATCCTTGTCTATACAAGCAACATTGTGTACGGGAAGTCGGTAAGTTCCTTGTGTACTTCCGCCGCAACTCTGATGTCCTTTTCCGCGGTTGCAGTTTTCTGAGCCCACCGTCTTTCCCCTGGAGGAGGTTTCCATTACAAACGTAAACGACAGCGGAAGTAAGTACGCATCCGATTCCGTCATTCTTATTGCATATAGTTTTTAGAAATGGCTTCATTATCCAGACTCCTCGCAAATCCTTCACTGTTTACGCGACAATTGCCGACGAAAAACGCCGCTGGATGGAAGGTATTCAGTTCTACGCGAATGAAGCACAGAAGCGGACGGGAAAATGTAAATATATGTTCTTCTGTTATTTTTATCCACCTTCAAAATTAACCTACCCTTAAGTAGTTGGCTTCTATTTCGCCCTCTCGACCTCCATTCGTCTTTTTACGATTTAAAAAAATATTAGATAAGGGTACTGGCCAGAGTTGAGTAGAACATCTGAGTAATGAGCTATAAGAATTTGGATATAGAGCATACCTACCCATTGCACCTGGCCGTAAAATATGACATTGACGTCGAGCTTAGAACGGAGGTCCATTTACATTTCGTCAAGCCCCATACTCAGTCTATCCCCACTCTCCTCGCTCGTAACGTAGCTATGATATCGCTCTTACAAAAATGGAATCGATATTTTAGTTGGGCATTTCTGTATTACTTCAGCCAATCTATTGTGCTCTTACACTAGTTCAGTACCGATGTTTATAATATTTTACGGCGCTGCAAAAGCTGTTGCTCGATAGTTTTGATGAGAGGTGCACTGCAAGGCCTTGTTGCTTATCTCGAAACGGCGTCATATACTTCACACAACTGTACTATGCGGTGTTTTTCACTTGGAAGTAGTTAATTAACTACTGCTGTGGTTATGTTCTGTCGCTGTCTACCTCTGTTACTTTGCTGCAGTCTTTATCAAGTAGCTCTCACCTCCCGAGGTCATTTTAGCGGTCAACTTCGTTCTCACCAGTTACTAGGAAGCACAAATAGCCTTGGCTGAATTGCCTTCAACCGACTTGTCCCTTACATACAGTACGGCCTAAAATTCGTGTAACATGCCGACATATGCGAAAGATTGATACTCTCATTAATCGGCATTGAGTACAGTTGTGATACTGATTAGCATGTAGTCTATTCTGAAGCCGTGTTAGTCACAATAGGATGTCGGCTTTTTAACGAGCTTATTTCTGCCGCTAACAGAACGTTTACACTGTAAAACGTGGCTACTTAAGTAGTATGCATTTTATCATTGATTTTGACGGTTTTTATAAATTCTATTATACTATTTCGCTAAGCGGCGTTGACTCAGATTGTGATACTGATTATCTTGCAGTCTATTCTGAAGTCATTTCAGTCATGATAGGATGCGGGCCTTTTAACGAGCTTCGTTCTGACTCCTGGTAAAACGTATCTATTGGAAAAAATAGCTACTTAAGTAGTATGCCTTTTTATAATTATTTTGACTGCCCTTATTAATTCAAATATATTTTATGGAAAATATAAACGAAAAATTCATTTCTTGTACTCGTTTGGTGAGCAATTACGTTTTCTTTAAAATTAATACTGAAAGAAAGGGTACTTTTGTGTTTTAAAAAGT